GGCAGCAGAGCTGAGCTTCTTGCTCAGAGGAACCTTCCACACACACTCTGTTTTCCTACCAAACTTAAAAAAAAAAATAAAATAAAAAATCTTTCTGTTTGACAGCAGATTTGCAAGGGACAATCCCACTGGCTGAGGTGCCAGGGCAGACTGCAGCCCTGCCTTGGGTTTGGCAGAWGCTGAACTGACATCATGAGCTGATATTCCTCAGTGAAACAGAGATTATTTTTCTTGGAAATCCCACAGCGTTCTGATCATCCATTGCCTTAATTCCCCTTCYGTTCACTTGTTATTTCACACAATGGGCTACTAAAAAGAGCACAGTGGACACCTCCCTGGATACACTGGTCACTCCAGAGCATCTCTTGGAAAATTCAGGATTTCTGAGTGTCCAGCTGGCTGAARTTATCCTCTCACCATGACAGCATCTAAAACAGGAAGGAATTCTAAGACAGCTTTGGAGTTCCACTAGAAGCCCTTCTCTCACCCTGCCTGTGCTGCAAAAAGTCAGCTGGCAGCTTCACTGCTGGTTCTTCATGCACTTCTTTCCCCCCTGCCCTGTTTCCAGTTTCCTCAAAAGGACTGTGTGGAAATCATAGTGACAGACAGTCCCTGACAGCAGCAGGATGGAGGACTCCAAGAGAAAAGCTGCTGGTTAGCATCTAGCCACTGGAACTGCATAAATGTCCATTTTCACCTCAAAAAGCCTGCCAGAGGCAGCAGTGACACCTTCCCTGTGCCTGAAATGTCTCACAGGTATTGGGAGCACTGGAGRACTTGCAGCTCAACACCTAAACTTGTGAGACTTGGTAAAACATAAATATTCACCTCAGCATGGCTGGGACATTTCAGTCTAGCAGCACATTGATTTGAGACCTGAATATTGACCAGCCAGCAGCTTCCTGGCACCCCTCAGCAGCCTGACACCCTCTCCTGCTGGATGCATTAAGGATGAATCCTTCACTCCAAAGTTCCTCTGCTACAAACTTCCAAAGCAATGCAGCAATGGTTAATATTTATAAAAAGAGAGGATTTCTGCCCTGCTTCAGCACTCAGGGATTCAAAACCTCCAGCATAGACAGGAACTGCCTTGAGCTGAAACTGAGCAGCTATGTAATAAAATATAGTCAGGAGATGAACAGGAGTTCTACAGTTGATGTGCCTTGAGCATGCTTGAAAGATTTATTTCCTGGCTTCCTCTGGAGGGGTTTTTAATAGGGAGGGTTTGGCCCTGTTTTTTTAATATATATATCCATATAAGAAAGAATGAGATTTAACACTTTTAAGGGGGGAAAAGGACATTCACACTTCTTGAGGAGATGCTACAGAGAAAATTCTTTATTTTACATAGACCTGCTCTATTTACAGCTGCTGCATTTCCTGCCAGAAAACAGAAGTGAGTGCTTAACTCAGTGTCTAAAAGGCAAATCTGCCACAGAGTTGTGCATGCAGAGAGCCAGCCAAAGCTGAAATGCCACTGTGGAGTGGGACATTGAACCACAGACAGACAGAGATTGCATTTGGGCTCAGAAGAGGCTGCTGGAGGGGATGCTGTAGCCAGACTCTGATTAAGGAGAGAGAAATAAATAATAATTAACAAATATAATTTGTTATGAACTTCAGAGCAACATCTCCAGGATCTGAAAAGGGGAAGCTCAGCAATCATTTCATACTCTCATACCCCTTTGATCTGCACATGCCTGTCTTACCACACATCTTTTGTCTTGGTTTGAAAGACAGGTGTTTGCCAGTGAAGGCAGGGACCCACCTTGGAGTGGTAGATATGACCCCCTCTTCCCTCCAAATTATTATAGCTTTGACAATCACGGGCTTTCAGGCAAGAATATGGGTAAAAGGGAATAACAGTTTTTACTAATATGTATAACAAGGTGAAACCGATGCTTGATGATTTTTGCTTTTCCCTTTACGCTTCTGTACCCTCTATGCATCCGCCTGTACCCCTTAGTCCACATGCTTGTAATTCCTGAAGCTTRATATTCCAGCTTAGTTTAGGAGTTCTGCTGGGCAGAGAGACCAAACATCCTGAGGAAGGAGTCAGTGTACCCTGTGCTATCTTAAACCTGAGGCTCCACCCTTGGGTGAAGCCT